AGGAGAAACTTTCTGACAGTGAGAACAATTAATCAATGGAACAACTTGCCTCTAGAAGTTGTGAATGCTCCAACACTGGACGTTTTTAAGAAGATGTTGGATCACCATTTATCTGAAGTGGTGTGGGGTTTCCTGCCTAGGCAGGGGGTTGGACTAGAAGACCTCCAAAGTCCCTTCCAACTCTGTTATTGTAATCTTGGGATTTATTCATTTCTGTAAAGAATATAGATGTCTGCCCACTTTTCAAACAATGCAGATCTGGAGAGGTTTGCAACAATCCTCCCCCCAAAACAGAACAGGGTGAGCAATTTCCATCCAAATCAAAATACCCAATGACCTTTCATGCCACCTCTCTTCAGACGGGAATGCCAAACCTTGATATTCCAGGGGAAAGTCAAGCTTTCAGTACCTTTCTGAAAGCAACAAAGTTGGTGTCAGATAAATGTCGGGCAGAGGGATGTGGATCCCAGACTGCATGGGGAAAGGGAAACAGTGGTGGGATTCAAATTTTTTTACTACTGGGGTGTGTGGCTTGGTGGGCGAGGCAGGGGAAGGATACTGCAAAATGCCCATTCCCTCCCCACCCCACTAACCTGCTTTCCAGCTCCGTTCTCCTGTGCAGGAGGCAGAGAATAGATGGGGCGGGGCCAGCCAGAGGTGGTATTTGCCGGTTCTCTGAACTACTCTCAAAATTTCTGCTACTGGTTCTCCAAAACTGGTCAGAACCTGCCTAGTCCCACCTCTGAAGGGAGTCCCCTGGCCTGGAACAGGAGGCATGGTTTTGCAGAAGCTTTCCCCCCTCCTCACCCCCAGTCTCTTCCTGGGAAACACATCCTGCTGATGGCCCCTGGAGAGATGGGGGGGATGCCCATCTCTCTGGGGAAGATGGAACGGTGACCCTTTGCCCTCCTCTTCCAAATTACTCTCCTCTTCCAAGTGCAAATATCAGCCGTCCGAGCAGAAGACAGATTTATGGGTCTCTTCCCCATACCGCCCATGAGTTGGAGGGGGAGCTGCATCCCCAGGAAGGCAGGAGAAGACCAGAGAGCTCAACTACATGATTCATTTGGCTCTACCTCAGTAATTCAGGATAAGCCACTCAGGTAAATCATCGCTCCTGCTCCCAAGATGTCCAACCTGCAGGGGAAGGAAGCTGAGCCAATATCAGTGAACCAAGCTGGGGATGTGGGGTGTGTGTGTGTGTGTGTGTGTGTGTGTTAGAAAGGGGGAAGGTTTGGAAACTGTACCCGGCATCAAATCTTGCTGGTGACTAGACCTGTCTGCCTTGTGGCTTCCTGACCTGTGACCACTCGGCCCTTCCTCACAGCAGCCAGAGGAAGCAACCCCTCCTTATGTTCAGGAGAGATTTAACACCTGAAGAGATCTGTGCCCATTAATTGATTTACTCTTAAATATGGCTGCACAACTTTGAAATTTCCTTGAAGGAGCAGCCTTCCCATTAGCCTCGAAAACTTTAAAATATAATAAACGGCCTTCCTACTTGGAAGCAGAGCAACCTTTAATACAGCCATTCCATCAAAGATGCGGTCACTTGGGTATTGTAGTGATGCAATACCTTTGGAGGTCTGAAGCCTGGTGCATCTCTCCAGGTTCAAAGGTGGCGTCAACGTTTTCCATCGAGCCCCTGAATCTTATGTGCCTGCAGGCCTTGGGAAGTAGATATTGGCAATTCGCTCTGAAAATCAGCCCCCCTGTGCAAATCCTAAGAGC